GTGGACACTGAGACTGTGCACTATGGGATGGCCCTCTCTAATGCAGGCAAATGAACATTAGTTCAATTGCCAGTGAGGAACACATGTGCCTGGGGATGGTGGTGATGCCCAGTTCTCTAGCCACTATGGTTTCAAGGTCAATGGACAGTAACTAGCCAGCTTTTCTGGTGTCATGCCTCTATACATTCCCTTAAACTGAAATTGACTTGATATATACCTGACGTGACACTATCCTGAGTGGCAGATCTGTATTTCCACTTGCCAACTAAGACAGCTCTCCCAGCATGCTGCATATGCAGCTAAAACTCAGCATGTCTCAAAACTGAAATCATGTTCCCTCAAGAACTTGCTGTCCACTTGCATCCCCTCCTCATTACTGTGCTGCCCAAACTACATAAAGGCATCAGCCTTTTACCCTCGGTTCTGGCTCTCTCCTGCCTGAGCAACTCTACCTCCTGGGTGTGTGTGATCCTTTCTCCTGTCAGCCAGAAAGATGCCTCATTGGCATGCACCTGGACCATAACTAGATCCTGGTTGCTCTTCTGGCCTCCTACTTTGACCCCCATCCCAGTGTTCCTGTCATGAATATCTTCTAAAGTGCAAATGTGAGCACGTCACTCTCCAGCTTCATATCCTTCGGTGAGCCTGAATTGCATTCAAAAAGAAGTCCCATTTCTTGGCAAGGCCTGCTGTGATGGGGCATCTCAGAAGAGGTAACTCTCAGGCAATGGACACATGCTCACACACACACGGGTATGAACACAGACACGCACTCTCCATATCCCACTGATGGCCTATTTTGAATCCCTTCTTTTGAGAGCAGAAGCTACATGTGTCTTTAGTGTTCCCATAAATGCCACAGCAGACAGGACACTGCACTATACCCAGTGTCCTCTGTGGACACTGAGACTGTGCACTATGGGATGGCCCTCTCTAATGCAGGCAAATGAACATTAGTTCAATTGCCAGTGAGGAACACATGTGCCTGGGGATGGTGGTGATGCCCAGTTCTCTAGCCACTATGGTTTCAAGGTCAATGGACAGTAACTAGCCAGCTTTTCTGGTGTCATGCCTCTATACATTCCCTTAAACTGAAATTGACTTGATATATACCTGACGTGACACTATCCTGAGTGGCAGATCTGTATTTCCACTTGCCAACTAAGACAGCTCTCCCAGCATGCTGCATATGCAGCTAAAACTCAGCATGTCTCAAAACTGAAATCATGTTCCCTCAAGAACTTGCTGTCCACTTGCATCCCCTCCTCATTACTGTGCTGCCCAAACTACATAAAGGCATCAGCCTTTTACCCTCGGTTCTGGCTCTCTCCTGCCTGAGCAACTCTACCTCCTGGGTGTGTGTGATCCTTTCTCCTGTCAGCCAGAAAGATGCCTCATTGGCATGCACCTGGACCATAACTAGATCCTGGTTGCTCTTCTGGCCTCCTACTTTGACCCCCATCCCAGTGTTCCTGTCATGAATATCTTCTAAAGTGCAAATGTGAGCACGTCACTCTCCAGCTTCATATCCTTCGGTGAGCCTGAATTGCATTCAAAAAGAAGTCCCATTTCTTGGCAAGGCCTGCTGTCATCTTAGCAAGACTTTGCTCTTGCACTTTTTTTTTTTAATCACAAGTTGCCAGTGGCCGTCTAGTTTTTCCTTGGCCCTTTTTGCCCAGAGGTTTGGCACGGGCCGTGTGAAGGCTGCTGAAGGCCTTGAAGGTCCTCTCCTCCTCTGTGATGACTCTGCCTTCACCTTCTTGCACATGTTCCCTATAGGCATGCCTGATCCTGTCAGCTGGGTGGCCAACTTGAGTTCTTCAGTAGAGCCGTCTCCCTTCTTGGGGACTGAGGGCTTCCTGAGAAAGAAGATGAGCTTGAAGCAGTAATCCTTCAGCCACTGCATGTCAGCCTGCAGGAACTCAGCGGACTTGTTCCGACTCCTGAGATCCACTGAGATCCCAGTGGTCCATGCCACCTTCTTGTGGGTGCTCCTCCAAGCTGAAGCGCCTGCCCGCTTGCACTGTGGTGTGGTACTGCACCATAGGGCCCCTCACGATGGCCCAGATGGTCCAACATAGGGCACGAGGCCCTGCGTGTGCCTTGGCTTGCCAGGCCTTGTGTTTGAGTATCTTCAGCACAGGCTGGACAAACCATGTCCTGTGGAAGTGCAACTTCAGGATCATGCCATTCCACTGGGGGCCATGGCTGCTGCCTATGGGCCTCCCCCCGAGTAAGAGGAGCAAGTGGTAAGGATGCTCCTGCACTCTTCAATCTGGCCATGACAAAATGCTCCTGTGCGGTGCATTCTCTTTCACACTTCCAAGCCAGACCACTCTCATCCCAGTCCTTGCAGATGTGTCACATGTAGTGTCCTGACTGGTTTCCTTCTATTTCCACCCAGAGAACATGGAGTGCTTGAGGACAAAGGCAGAGACTTGTTCACCACGGAATCCCTTGCACCATACTTTACACATAGCAGGTATCCAACAAATGTCTATTGAATGAATAAATGATGTGCAACACTGCATCAGGGGCTATAATACAGGGCTACGAGCAGCGTAGACTTGTCTTGGTGAAGCCCCTCAGCCCTCTTCATGGTCCATGGTCATAAACGCAGAGTTTCAGAATTACTCTTCTTTGATAAGGCTTTATACTGGGTTTATTGATAGAATAATCTTAACTTTTAAATGTTATTATATTAAATAGGGGCATTGGTCTGCTCCTCATGCTTTTTAACTATGTTCTGGAGAAACTATTAACCCAGTTAACAGACCAATCAAAAGTCATTTCTTCTGCACAAATAGCTGTTTGAAGCTGTATGGTTTACCTAAAGATACTCGTCTAAAGGCACTGAGACACCTGCGGGTAGAACTTAACTTTCAGGACCTCCCACGACACTCACTTTAGGTCTTTTTTTATCTTCTTCTACCTTTTAGTTTTCCCTTCGCAGATGCAGCGTATAACTGAAAATGCTTTGCCTGGCAATTTTCAAGAGCGAAAGCTGGGGCCTAAGAGAACACCACGATTTCTAAGTACCCAGTTATGATCCAGCTCCTTAATAACCGCGGTGAGACACCAGTGCTTCTCACAAGTGAAATCCCTTCACCCCTAGAGTTTTACTACCCAAAGCGCTTCTGCAGTCTCAATGCCTGTCGTTAGGGTCTCCAATTGTTCTTGCCACTGCACGGACTGCGGAGTTACTTTATCAAAGTTAACCACCTTCCCTTGGAGAACGCCTCTCCCAGAACTAGTCAGGCTGAAATCACGTGACTCCCGATCAGCTTGCAGAGGTTTATGATCAAGACAAATTAAAGAATAAAATAAAATGCCATTGGTGCAGCTGGAGCCTGGTCTGGGGCGACCTCGGTGGGCGGAGCCTAACACGAGGAGGCGGTCCGGGAGGTGGGCGGAGCCTAACGAGGGGGACACCCCCCCCCTGGTAGGCGGAGCCTGGAGGACCCAGCGAAACCGCTGCTCGCCTAGCTCCCAGGCCTCCTCAGCCGTTCCCGTGCGCCGGCGTCTTCGAACTCCGCGAGAGCCGAGGCGGCAAGGGGCCGAGGCCTGGAGACCTCCTTCCGCGCCGGGCCGCCTGCAGAAGTTGCTGCCATCCTTTTCAAACGCACCTTTGCACGTTTCGGCTGCCCCCTGCTCTCTGCGTCCCGCACTCCACTGCGGACGCCGGCCTTGTCGCCGCAAGTGCAGTTCATGCCTAAACTCGGCTCGGCTCTTCCGGCCGCTCCCCGCCGCCAGGCCGAAGGGTTCTGAGAGTCGGGACGCTGCAGGGAACCCGCGGTGTGAGCGCGGCCTTGCCCAGAGGGCGGGGATGCGTGGGGGGTAAGGGAGCGTTAGGGCACTTGAGGGCGTCTCGGCCAATGGCGAGGCGACAGGGGCGGTGGGGCGGGGCCCATAAAGGGGCGCGCCCGGGGTGCGCGGGCGACAGGCGGG